TGTGCCAGACCCCCCCCCCCCCCCGAGAGATGAGTGTGCCATTTTAATGCTTTTCCTTAATGAGAACGTTCGCATTGTGTTTAACTGACACCTTTTTTTTTCACTGACTGCGGTGTGTTTTTGTGTATTTTCTTTCTATTGTGTACATTTTGCGTATTAAATGGTGCATATTGTTCCATGCATTCTCCAGAACAACCCATAAGCATTGCAAATGTGTGAATCCTCGGGGAGAGGTCTGTTTCTTCTCACAAAAGTCTATTTTCCTTGAGACTTCCAAGTCTAATGACATTCCTATCCTGCTTCCACCACTTCCTTTCTATTTATTTTGTATTTTTCATATACGTTTGTACATGTTTACCTACCATCATCTGTCAATCCCTCAATGTGAAATCATTTGGCGTTATACAGATTATAGTTGACCACGTGCTGTTAAATTGTGTCTGGTTTGTGGTATAACCCTAGTAGAGCTTTTGCAGGGATGGGATTTGAGTCGTGGGACTCGCTGTCAAGTCGGACCTAAACCAGACGAAAGAGTGTGCAGGCCTTTACGGATGCCAGGATCCCTTGACTAGGGTGGCATGTTTAGATTCTGCTGGCATGCATGCACAGAAACTCTGATCCACACACTATGGATTCATGCAGAGCAAGCAGGGTTCATTTTTAAATAGACTTGGCAAGAGCTTGTTTCAAAACAACAAAACAAACCCACACATAGGAATGATGAAGTCTGCTTCTCCAAGAAACTGGAGCTCGGATGTTGCTCCCGAAATACTAATGAGCGGGAAAGCTCCCAAGTGACTGTGAGCCCAGATTCTTCAGATTTGCTGATCTGTTCTTTCTCGTTCTCTTTGCAGCTGGGAATCAATTGGTACCCTTGGTGAAATCTGGAGCTCCCTTTCAGCCGGCCCTCCTTCTTGGAAGGAACTCTACACCTAACAATGCTACCCTACAGGGGAAGGTCCGGCACTAAATCTTGCGCGCCCTGTTCTCTTCCAGCCAAGAGGCCTTACTTATCTTCTCTTGCCATTGGTTGTTGGAAGTGTGTGTGTGTGTGTAGATAGCGGGTTACTGCCTTGATGTCTGCTTCGTCAGCTTGCTAGAGGTGCCTTGTTGATCATTGTGGCAAGGAGGCTGATCACCACTCACACCCAGCAGGGCTCCGGTGCTTATTCCAGTCTGCTTTTTCAGCCCAACAGGAAAGGGGTGGGTGGGTGGAAATGAGTTATCTTTCTTCACACTGAACTTCTGAGACCAGCTGGGTGCACCACTTGAAGTCCTTCATTCTATTCTAATTAGCACACCATTTGATTCTCTCCTTCTCTCTCTCTCTTTTTTTTTTAGTATACTAACTCTCCCTCTCCCTCTCCCTCTCAAAAAAGGAACCCAATGAAGTAGAACATTGTTTATCATTATGGTGACAGCCTGCCTTGATTGTGTCCTCTTGATTTTCATGGTTTGGAATTTCTATTTTAGGAGGGGAAAAATAGCAATGTTTTGGGTTTTCCTCTCGATATTTGGACTAAGGTAAAGGTTCCCCTTGACAATTTGTCCAGTTGTGTCCGACTCTAGGGGGTGGTGCTCATCCCCATCTCTGAGCCGTAGAGTCAGCGTTTGTCTGGAGTTAATCTTCCATGTTCATGTGGCCAGCGCGACTAGACACGGAACGCCGTGACCTTCCCACCGTGGTGGTACCTATTTATCTACTCACATTTTTACATGCTTTTGAACAGCTAGGTTGGCAGGACCTGGGACAAGCAATGGCAGTTCATTTCGTCACGTGGATTCGATCTTACGACTGCAGGTCTTCTGACCTTGCAGCACAGAGGCTTCTGCAGTTTCACCCGCAGCGCCACCACGTCCTACCAATAAGATAAAACTAGAAACAGATTTCAGTTTGCAAAGTGGATAAGAGCTGCAGAGCCAGAAGGGACCCTCTAGATCACTGAGTCCTGCCTGTATCCAGGAGGCCCAGTGGGGGAAGAGACTGAGTCGTGCCCGTATCCAGGAGGCCCAGTGGGGGAAGAGACCTCAACCACTGAACTATCCATGAAAAATTACTCCAAATAATTGTGTCACAAGAATTTCTCCATGACAGAATGAAGAACGGGCAACTAGATACAGCATGGGAGATGTGTGGATAAATCAGGAGCGGATTGGTCTGTTTCACCATTCTTTTGCTTTCTGTAACATTCACATTTTCCACGCACAAGTTTGCTGCATCCTAGTTTGCTTGTCACTTGTCAAATTCACATCAAAGCCAGTGCAAAATTTTGTATGCATATTCGCATTCGCTGTTCTTGCAAAACCATAACCCGCTTTGTACGGAGTTTCCCCAAATATAAACACCTTTTTTTGCAACGAATTCCCACAATACATGCCTCTTTGTATGCAGTTTCCCCCTGCGGGTTTGCTTTTTTATATGCGTTTTAAAATGTGAAGCGATACATCACACCATTCGAAGAAGTATGAAGACTAGAGAATAATTATGTTCCCGCCTGGGTTGTTACTTTGAGAAATGTGAATTAGATTCCATGTGAAGCAAACAAATTTTGACCCCTGTCCCTAGGAGAGATGCTCTATATTTTTCAGAAGAACCACCCACACCTCTCTTTCAAGTACGCAAAGTGAACTGTGTGGAGGAGTAAGTAAACACGCCTCCTGCAATAACTTTGATTTGTTTGATGCAAAGTTTAGGACAGACTAGAGAAAGACCTGCCCACCCCAATGCAGCATCAATGTAGAGTTTTAGTCCAAGAACATCTGGAAACCCAAGGTTGAGAATCATTGCCCTCCACAAATTCCATAGTGCTCTGCTTTGCCTGCCAGAGAAAGACAGGATGATGGAACCACTCTATTTTGCTAACAGCTGAAAAGACATCCCTTAAATGGTTTGGGAGGCAAGACACATTTGCCTCTCTGCAAAGCAAGATCTCTGCTCCCACTTGGAGAACTGAAGCACAGCTACCATGCCTCTAGGTGTTATTGCTTTTTATTCTTGGTCTTGTTCATTCCTGTCCTGCCTTCTAGCAAGGTACCCAAAGCAGCTAACAGAACCAACAACAACACTAAACATCTCAAACACAACATAAACTGGGCCATAAACCAGAAACATGAGAAGCAAGTGCCCCTTTCCATGGTACAGATGGGAGATTTCATGTCTGAATGCTCTCTCCTGATCAAAACTATTTCAGTGCACAAAGGGAACCAGTAAGGGGGGATGACGGCTAATCCTAGAGGCTTGTGTCTGGGAGGTCCTCCTTCTAGGAGAAGGGAAAATTTCTTTGTAAGGGACGCTTTCAGGCAGGAAAGATCACCTGCCTGCAGCCTAGACATAATATACGGTCCAGGAAAAGTGTTTTGCAACACCCTGACATATGTCTTAGTCTTTAAGGCACAGAAACTGGAATGCTGATCGGAAAAGCTTGACCGATCAACATTCCAGTTTCAAAAAGTGAATTCGAAAAGCAAATCCAGTTCCACTGGGTGCTATTTGTGGCCCTTCTGCAGTCTTCCACTGTGGATGAGCGAGTATCCCCTGAACCTGCTATGAGGAGGAAATCTGGTGAATCCCAGACTCTCGGGGCCCCAGGAGATTAAATCCCCAGAAGGAGGTGGCGCAGTTCCTGGGTACGAAGTGTCTTTCCAATCTCACCAAAGCCCCCGACAACCTATATGCTGCTCGCTCACTCACCTGTGCGACATGATGAGCTGTTTCAGAGAGAATGGCACAAAGCTGGAAAAAAAATGCCTTAAAAATAACGAGAATAAGAGGCTAAACTCCCTCTCCCTCTCCCACCCCTGCCGATACAGCCGGAGAGACTTGACTCTGGATTGCTCCTGGACGTGCTTCCCCAACCTGGTACAAATCAGACCATCTGAATGCTGACTGGTGATGGTGGGATCGGTAACACAGCCTGTTTTAAACAACGGCATCTAACAACTTGTGCAATTCAGTTTTGTCACAGATGTGCTGCCTGCCATTCCTTTTTTCCAACCTCACCAAAGCCCCCGACAACCTATATGCTGCTCGATCACTCACCTGTGCGACATGATGAGTTGTTTCAGAGAGAATGGCAAAAAGCTGGGAAAAAAATGCTTTAAAAATAAACAAGAATAAGCGACTCACGGCACCCAAACCAAGTAACTTGTTACAGGTTGCAGTGTTCTTTTCATGACCCGTTATGGCGTGAGCCCAGTTTTACTCACCCGGGCGATCAGCTCTCCGACCATGCCGGTCCAGGTCCCGTTCGCCTCGGGGACGCCATACACTCCGTCGCCAACCAGATGGATCTTGTAGTTGAAGTGCAGGATCTCTGCTAGTTCCTTCAGCATGTCCACGCAGAAGCCTTCATAGCGCTCGTTCCCCTCCAGCTCTTGGTGGTTGCCCTTGAGCATTAAGTAGGGGTTTTCCTGCATCGAAACTGGGCAGCTGTCATTCCCATCTTAGCCATGGAGTCCCAACAGCACTAGATTCAGCACAAATTGGAAAGCAGGGGCGGGTGATGTGATGGACTTGCTGGGAATCACCAGGAAGGGGTGACATCAATCTCTGGGACAGAGTTTCCGGGGTTCTCTCATCTCTTGTTCAACTGGAATGCCGTTAGGCCTAATCAGAGCCAAGCCGGCAGAGGCCCATGAGGCCTGGCGGGCTGAAAGCGACCTCCTTCTGTTTAAGTGGCATTCATATTGGACAAAACAGCATTCCCTAATCAGTTCCCAAAATAAGTGGAGGATCATGTTTGGGGTGGTGGAGCTACGGAAGAGAGGCCCAACACTGTCAGACTGAGTGGGTGGAGCTGCTGCCAATCTTGATGAATATTAGAGATTGAGCTACTAGTGCCCACTGGTAAGAGCTGGGAGCTGCAACTGGTGATATAGCTAGGGGGAAATGATAGGTTGGGCTGGGTCCATGATGGTTCAACCTGAGTTCTATATGGCAATAATGAAGCAGTTGATCAGAGCACAACACCGCCTGCAAGTGTTCCATATCCATGTCATACCCTTCCCATCAAGCCATTTGGTATGGGCATCTTTTTGCCTTTCACTTCCACTAAAAAAACCCCTGTCAAATACAGGGTGGAGGCCAGCTTTAGGTTTCTGCCAGTTCCCCAGGCATCGTCAGCTGAGCAGATAATAGCATCACTAATGGAAAGTTTGAATTCCTGCACACTGTAATTGCATCCCAGGAGTCTCCCAGTCAGGAAAGAGGGCACAGAATACAAAATTGTGTTGAGTTGGGGACTGAATGGAACATGGCCTATGCAGATCCATGGATGAAGCACCTGAGCATGACTTGTGAAAAACCCGCAGTTCAGCATAACCAAAGAAAACCTGAAAGCAGCAGGCTATGTTGGGAGATGAGTGATACGAAACCAGAAATCCAATAATAAGTTGCAACTAGAGCAGGGAAATTAAATTGGTGGAACCTACGTACGTGTTGATTCCTCAAGTCCCCATTGATTCAATGGGCCTACTCTACTTGCAATGTACTACTAGATTTCAGATGCGTTCCTAAACTCAAGAGTTTCTGGCTTCAGTCCTGGCTGATTCTGATCATATCCATCTTACATCACAACAGGAGATTTTGTGCACACTCAAAATGTGCTCTACCATTCCTCTATAGTCTAGCTGTTTCTGTACCAAAAATGGCATTTGCAAGAGGAGGTAGGGATGTATCCCCATTTTAAACCTTCTTCTCTCCATTTCTGAACTCGTGATAGTGTTTCCATATGGCATCCCAAGGTGTGCTTTGCTGCATCATCACAAATAGTTGCAGGTACAGTCACTAGCAGGGTGATTGCTCCTTAAATATCTTACCATGCAATGCAATGCATGGTAAAGATGGGGAAATGGTAAGAACACCAGATTCTCTACTTTTTACCACTCCAGATGTTTTGGATTTCATATCCCTCACTATTGGTCATGCTGGCTGAGTCCTCTAGGAACTTAAGCCCCAACACTTTGGAGAACCTAAGGGTGAGAACCATTGATATGGATGACAGGACTAACATCTGGAGCAGTGGTTCCCAACCTTAGGTCCCCAGCTGTTCTTGGACTATAACGCTGAGAAATCCTGGCCAGCAAAGCTAGAGTTGAAGGCTTCTGGGAGCTGTAGTCCAAGAACATTTGGGAGCTGCGCTTAGGAATCACTGATCTAAAGCAGCCATTCTCAACATTTTTTTTTTGCCATAGTCATAAACATAAGGTTGAATCAGGATTTCATATCCCTCACTCCGTGCATGTGCGGATTACCCCATAGTGTAACTCAGAGAAATCCTGGCCAGCAAAGCTAGAGTTGAAGGCTTCTGGGAGCTGTAGTCCAAGAACATTTGGGACCTGCGCTTAGGAATCACTGACCTAAAGCAGCCATTCTCAACATTTTTTTTGTCATAGTCATAAACAGAAGATGAAAGAAATACAAGTTGAATCAGGATTGTGTAAGTCACATTACCGAACTTATAAGGTGTTGTGTGAACGACAGGTTACCTACCTGTAATTGTAGTTCTTTGAGTGGATCTCTTGGTTCACACTATGGGATAATCCACACATGCGTGGAGCCTTGTCGGAATATCCTAGAATATTCTGACAAGGCTCCGTGCATGTGCGGATTACCCCATAGTGTGATTCACAGAGGCCATGAAGAAGAAGAATGGTTTATAGTCTGTGGCCCCCTTAAAATGAACCAGCCCCTCCCCCAGGGACCATAGAGCCCCTGTTGAGAATGGGTGGTATATAGGCTGCCTTGGAGATGCCAAGACAGAAAAGCTGTTTGGCGTGACTCCCCATGCTTACCAGGATAGTGGTGACAATGAGCGTGGTGTTGAAGAGGCTCTCTGATGCATTAGAAGAAAAGATCTGGTCATCCATGGTAAGTCCTTTGGTAACGTGCCAGTGACCAATCTGCAAAAAGGAAGGAAGGAGGATCAGGACCCATGACATTGACCATGTGAATTACTATCTGCTTCTGCCATATGGCTGCTCTGAAGGACTGCAATTAGGCTGCCAAAGATGGTTGTTGATGCTTCATTAGCTGTACGATGGAGCCTACCAGCGACACTCTTGTCGGTCAGCCAGAGAAATAGACTGCCATTTGGTTTTGGCAAAGCCAGACAGGCACAAAAAATGGAGGGATACAAAAATCTGGCCTTACTAGAGGTGGACAAAAACAGGAGTCAATGCTAAAAAAACCCTTGGTGAGTGGAAAGCTGAGTGGACTACCCAAGAAGGTGGTGGGTTTTTCTTTGTGGGGGTTCGTCCATCTGTAAGGAATACATCAGCTGTGGATCCCTTAACTGTCCACAGGTTGAACTATGGTGATCACCCGGGGCCCTTCAAGCTCTACAAATCTATGATTCTGTGCCCAGTTCCTGATGATCTTGATCCTGTTATGGCTGGTAGATCAATTAACCCTTTCCAAATGACATCATCCAAGCTAATCAACCCCAACCATTGAACACATTCTAATGCCTGCTCTCTAACCTTACAGGCTATTCTTAATAAAACTAATTTATACTCTCCAGTGGCAGTGGAATGAAGCCATAAATCCTTCCTGACACCCTGGAAGTGTCTAACTTTCCCGTCTGTGTGCTAGAATTATTACAAGATCAAGGAGGCAGTCCTTGGACAGTTGAGTTCCCCAACTCTCCCACTTTTAGTCGCTTCAAAACGGATCTTTATCTTCTTGTGAAAGGTGATCCTGCTTTACTTCTGACCCCGATTTCTCCTTTTCCAGTGAGATATCAAAAGTTTACAGTCAGTTCAGGTGCACTGCTGTGGGGCTAAGCTTGCTTGATCAGAACAAAGCTCTTTGAACTGCAATTCAACTCTGCCACAAGCTTCGTCGATGGTTGCAAGTCGTGACAACTTTATTGTATTGGATCTCCTAGACAGCTCAGATCTGAGGTTTTCCATGGCCTTGGAACTGAGCAAACTAGATACTCAAGTTTGTAATGATAATAATGTCAACGTTTATAAACTTCAAGTGTATAAAGTGCTTTGTATGCATTATCTAAGTATAATACCCAGAATAAACCTACAAAGTAAGCCAACGTATCTGTATATTCAGAAGTCGGAAAGATTAGAACTGATCATGAATAGTTTGCTGAAGGTGAACTCACAGAAGAGATTCAATGCAGGGACTCAGTCTCTGAGCCACTCTGCTACAGCAGCCCTCCTTCAACATTTATTTGAGGTAGCTAGCTAGTAATTAGAGCTAAATATAAGCAGAAAAACATGTCTACAGGTAGCACAGTTGAAAATGTGTCACTATTAAGCATTATCTAATAATACACATCTCCTCTCCAAGTGTGGCACAGTGGCCAAGAGGCCGGGCTATAAAATCAGGACCTTGGCTTCAGATTCCCAAATGATACTCAGTAAGCCATACTTTTGCAGCCTCCATCTACAACAGTGCTTCCTCATCTTGGGCGCCCAGATGTTCTTGGGCTACAACTCCCAAAAATCCTGGCCAGCAAGGCAAGTGGTGAAGGCTTCTGGGAGTTTCAGTCTCAGAACATCTAGGGACCCCAGGTTGAGAATCATTGGCCCGCAAGCTGAGCATAATAAGAGGTACTGACATGCCATACAGAGTTCTCATGAGGTGCGTGGAAGTGTTTTGAACACTGAGCAAGCACTAAGCAAAGGGCAATGGCTCTTTTTATTATCATTATTAAGAACCATCCTTTTAATATCTATTTAAGAGTACTGTATTGTGAATGAATACTGTACAGATATTTCAATACTAGCAGATTCAGCTTGTGTGCTGCGTGGATAGGGCATGCCCCCCAGGTATTCACAGGTGCATGTTTTGGGAAGAGGAGAGAGAGAATTGTCAAAGCCTAAAGGCTTTTATTATTGACAGGTGCTATTCACTTGCATCTTATCCACTCACTGCCAAGTTTCTTAATGCTCTTGTTCATCAAACATACAGGCAGGCACAAAAGGGCTAGTTCCATTCCGTCTGCATACGGTGTGTTATAGCTCATGCGATAATGCTGCACAAAAGGGCTATTTCCATTCCGTCTGCATGTCTACGGTGTGTTATAGCTCATGCGATAATGCTCAGATATTGTTCAAATTGGAGCCTTCGTAGCACTGCCCGGGCCTCTGCAACAGATGGTTGAGAAGATGCCTTAATTCAGGCTGAGAAATGAGGCAAATCCATCATCTTACAGGGACTGGAAGTTGTCAGCGAGGCTCAATAAAGCTTCCAAACACCAGACCCAAATGACTCCCGTTTTGGTCCTGTGGTTGCCAATGCCTTACACCCTTCTTCCCACCCCCAGGCCCAGCAAAACAGAGGCACAACCCAGGCCATATGTTTTCTAGATCTCTTGCATCCTCATGATTGCAACAAGTGTTCAGGCTAGTACAGAGGAGAAACTTAACCTTGCTTTCAGTTCCAATATCATCACTTACCCTGGAGCACTTTTCTAATAGCACGCTAATTCATTACACCATAGAAACCCCTTGTAAGAGGAGGGAAGGATGTTGTTCCCTGGCAGATGGAGAGAGGACTCATCTCAGGGTCATGATTCCTGAACAACAGTCAAAGAAAAGATTGCAACCAGCCTCTCTCAGCACTACAGAGTATGCCCTGGAATCGACAGAACAGCCACTCGGTTTGGCCGGTGCATATCTCCCAACATACACCCTCTTCAGCCACTTAAAATCCCACTTCAGTTTAATGCAATAATCACTTTAAGTGGAATTCTAACTGGTTTAAGTGAGCATGTAATAATACAGCGGTCTGGTGTAACTAGACTGGTGTTAACTACACTGGAGGAAAGTTTCCCAAAGAGGTCAAAAGAAATGTCTTTTCAGATGTGAATTGAGGGCTAAAAAGATCCCTTCTCATACCTTTCCTTAGAACCATGACTCCCAACCTTGGGTTCCCCAGATATTCTTGAACGAAAACTCCCAGAAATCCTGCCCAGCACAGCTCGTGGTGAAGACTTCTGGGAGTTTTAGTCCAAGAACATCTGGAGGACCCACGGTTGGGAACCACTGCCTTAGATGAGAAATGTATGTACTCCGACACAGAACATCATACGCAGTGTGGAACCCAAGTCCTAAAGGATCTCCTGCTTTCATATGAACACACAGCCATTCCCCTCATGGAACTGAGAAACTGCTCCAGATTTCTCTGCTAGAAGTCCATCAGCTGTATTGGAGACACGGACTAAGCCCTATGAGGAAAGACTGAAAGCACTGAGTATGTTTAGCCTTGAGAAAATAAGACCGAGGAGAGAGAGGATAGCACAACCTGTTCTCGATCATCCCAAAGTGCAGGATATGTCATCATGGGCTCAAGCGACAGGAGGCCGGATTTGGGCTGGATATCATGAAAACTTCTGAACTGTTAAATGATGGGACCCATGACCTTGGAAGGAGGTAAGTGCTCCAGCACTGGAAGCATTCAAGAGGAAATTAGACAACCACCATCTGTGTGATCTGCTTTGATTTGGATTCCTGCCTTGAATAGGGGGCTAGACTAAATGACCTCATAGGCCCCTTCCAACTCCATTATTCAATATTCTATGATTCAGTGGTGGCATCCTGGCTTTCGATTGTGACCTCTTGACCACACCTTCTGTTGAGCTGAATCAGCCCTTACGATTTTGCAGCCACATCTGAAGGAGGATGTGTCACTACATGGATTGAAAGGAGTGGATGGAATAGGTAACAGTGCAAGCAGATTTATTGTGGACTGACCTGGCATGAGCAGATCAGAAAGTTGGCTGGCAAGGTTACCTCTGAAAGGTGAGCACATCATGAGAAGTTTAATATCTATTAAACTTCAGGAGTATGCTGAAGCGGTGCTTTGCCATTTCAGAGCTTGAAGATCCTCTCTCTCTCTCTCTAAATTAAAACTCCAGGAATCTTACAACCAGTGTAAAGTTTTGGGGACTGTGTCCCAGTAGAGTAACTCTTGCAAGCTTCAATAACTTGGCAGAAGAGAAAGCCAAACAAATCTACCTGTGCTGACTACATTATACAGCCAGCTGTTAGCGAACCATGGAGGAGGTTATTGGGAGCAATTCTGTATCAGTGATAATGAATAGAGGGAGGGATTATTTTGGAAGGAGGACAGGCTATTACAGGATCCTTTCACTCTTGGACCACCACTGAAGAAAGTACTGTACTAAATTTATCTTTTATGTATTGCAATGCATTTAGACAAAACAAAACAAAACACAAAACAAAACAGAACCAGGCCAAAAATACTCCATCAAAACCTCTCAGCAATCCTGGCACCTACTCCATATGTCAGACCACCTTTATCACCCCTTTACTAAGGACGGAAAGAGGCTCACAATCATTCATCTACCCCAAAACCACCCACAAATGTGACTGTTCCTCCAGGGAGCTTTCTTGGTTATCTTGCAACCGCCACGTGCTATAACCGGGCACTTCCCTTGTCTAGCAATAACCAGTCCTCCACGATCCATTATTCACTTGAACAAATCCTCTCCCAGGCCCCATCCAGCTGTTTAGTGATAGATTAACTTTAATTCTGACAACTCTATAATCTCTTCTTTCCCTGCTGGTTTCCTGAAATTAATTGGCTACCACAGCTGCCTCCTCTGACATGAGAGTGGATGGGTCCCTTGCTTCTGAGGCAGGGCCAAGACAAAATACGTCAAGGTATCAAGGTTGATCCACCTCATGCTGTGCTCAGAGCTGACCCTCTCGATGGCATGATAACGGTACTAATCATCTCCAACCGTTCCCCTGTGTCTGATGTCAAATACTTCAGAGGAGACCAGAGGAGCAGACCTTCTCTCAGCTGGTGAGGAAAGCAGGAAAGCTAGACATTATATTCAGCACACAAGTTGCTCATTCACTCACCTGAAACTTCTAAAGCTTCCACCTGCCCGAAGGCCAAGAAAGCTGAGAAG